CTCTCTCTTTGCCCATCTCTCTCTCTGCTCATCTCTTTCCTGTCTCTCTCTCTTTGCCCATCTCTCTCCTCTGTCTCTCTCTCTTTGCCCATCTCTCTCTCTGCTCATCTCTTTCCTGTCTCTCTCTCTTTGCCCATCTCTCTCTCTCCCTCTCTCTGCTCATCTCTCTCCTCTGTCTCTCTCTCTTTGCCCATCTCTCTCTCTCTCTGCTCATCCCTCTCCTCTGTCTCTCTTTGCCCATCTCTCTCTCTCTCTCTCTCTGCTCATCTCTCTCTCTGCTCATCTCTCTCCTCTGTCTCTCTCTCTTTGCCCATCTCTCTCTCTCTCTGCTCATCCCTCTCCTCTGTCTCTCTCTCTTTGCCCATCTCTCTCTCTCTTTCTCTGCTCATCTCTTTCCTCTGTCTCTCTCTTTGCCTATCTCTTTCTCTCTCTGCTCATCTCTCTCCTCTGCCTCTCTCTCTCTTCTTTGCCCCTGTCTCTCTTCCTCTCTCCTGTTTCTCTCCCTCTCCTCTGCCTCTCTCTCTCTCTGTCCATCTTTCACTCATCTCTCTCTCTCTCTCTCTGCTCATCTCTCTCTTTGCCCATCTTTCTCTCTCGCTCTCTCTCTGCTCATCCCTCTCCTCTGTCTTCTCTCTTTGCCCATCTCTCTCTCTCTCACTGCTCATCCCTCTCCTCTGTCTCTCTCTCTCTTCTTTGCCCCTGTCTCTCTTCCTCTCTCTCTCTGTCCATCTTTCTCTCCTCTTTCTCTCTGCTCATCTCTCTCCTCTGTGTCTCTCTCTCTTTGCCCATCTCTCTCTCTGCTCATCTCTCTCCTCTGTCTCTCTCTCTCTTCTTTGCCCCTGTCTCTCTTCCTCTCTCTCTCTCTTCCTGTTTCTCTTTCTCTCCTCTGCCTCTCTCTCTCTGTCCATCTTTCTCTCCTCTTTCTCTCTGCCCATCTCCCTCCTCTGTCTCTCTCTTTCTTCTGCCTCTCACTTCTTCTCTCTCTCTCCTCTGCCCATCTCTCTCTCTCTTTCCTTTCGCTCTTTCTCCTCTTTCTCTCCTCCCTCTCTCTCTTTCTCTCTGCTCTCTTCCATATTTTATGGAGACATGAAGTTTGTGATGTAAAATTGAGTCAAACCAAACACCTCAGACTCACAGTGAAGAATCACACCGACAAACATTTTAAATTTCATTTTTAATAACTTTACGGTACAATGGACTTTCTCTCAAACTGGTACAAAACATGAAAGAAACTTAACATAAAGTCATTTTTGAACACAGTGGCTCAAATCAAAGCCAAAATGAAGTTCATACAACTGTGATGACAAGATTCAGAAAATAAAAAGTGAAAAATAACATTCCTACACCAACATTATAACCAAAAAAGACACCAGTGCTTTTCAGTATTCTGTTTTTAAAGAGGGGGTATTATGCAAAATTGACTTCATGGAGCTTTCTACCGTTTTATAATGTTGTTCCCTCATCAAAAACACACACGAAGAAGTTTAATATGCAAGCCTGTGTGTCACGCATGCTCCCACATGACAATTCTACATAAATATACACAAATGTGATACAAAACTGCACTACGACTTCACAAACCCGATGTGATGTGCTGCAGTTTCATTAGAGGGATGCACGCTCTGAAGGAACTGCTCAAAGTGTGGCAAAACACAAAACTGAAACTACCGTATTTTCCGGACTATAAGTGGCACTTTTTTTTCATGGTTTGGGTGTTTTATACTTTGGTGCAACTTGTATATTAAAATGTTCACATTGACAGCCACGAGAAGCTCTAGTCTTGTGTGTCAGTATCTGCTGCTCCTGTTCCTCCTGTACCACTGTCACTTGGCTCTACTGCGCATGTCTCCCGCAGAAAGAGCCTCTGTCCTGTCTGTATCGTGTCAGTCGATCGCACCATTACTTCTGTAACACTGAAAATTTAAACAAACATAAAGGCGACTGAGAAGACTGAACACAAATGCCCCCAAAAAGAAAATCTGATTTTGCAGATTACAAGCTGCAAGTCGTGAAATCTGCAGCTGAAAACTGTAATTGAGCAGCAGAAAAAAAGTTTGGAGTGAGCGAGAAACTTTAGACAACCGGGAGGATGCACCATGAAACTTTCCTGGAGTCACTGGATGGATGGACAAAGCCTGGACTTCAGTGACACTGAAACCATCCTGTCAGGATTCAGAAAGGCCCGAATAATTCTAACTGGAACTGATGCTGAGTCTGACGACAGCGACACAGAAGAGGAAGCGGCGCTCTGTTTACCTCCGGAGGTCGTGGAGTTGTTCAGAAGTGACACCGAGGATGAAGAATTGAATGGATTTAGTGATTTGGAGTGAGATGGAGAGTTTGTTAAACTTGTTGTGTTCTGTTGTTTATGTTATAGTTTATCTGAAGAACTGTTCATATGTGACATTAACAGTCTGTTGTTCTCTCTTCTGTTGTTATTACTAGAACTTGACTTTCAAGGTGAAATGTCGGTTCCTGGTCTCTGATTTTATCCAAGAAATTTCCCCCAAAAAGAGTGACTTATATATGTTTTTTCTTCTTCATTACGCATTTTTTGGCTGGTGCGACTTATACTCCAGAGCGACTTATAGTCCGAAAAATACAGTAATTTAAGATTGTTTTCGGCGTGTATACCATTTTCAAAACAATAAAAGTTAACACGGTGATCGAAATATGTTTTGTGTTTGCAGTTAATACTCCATAAAAGTAAAATACCCCGTCTTTAAAGTACCTCTCAAAGTAGCCAGGACATTTGAACAAAAACATAACTGAGGTTTTACCAGAAACTGTAAATAGATATGAACAAAAACATATAAAGACAATTCTAAATAACCATAAGTACAAAGGGAATATTCGTATGCATATATTACATTTACATTCATTTCAACTTAACGCAGTTCATTCTCTGGAATCATCAGGTGTTGCAGGATCTCTAGTATTTAAAAAAAAACAAAAAAAAACAAAGCTAGCACAAAATTGATACTTTGCAGTGACATTGCAATGGGAGTTTTGTACCCTACATATATGTTTACGGCTGAATGTCCAGCAGTTACCGTGGTGACAGGAAACGCTGCCAGAAAAGTTTTAACATTGTCTGACAACTCAAAATGCAAAAAAGATTTTAAGCGTTCATGTTCCAGTTTAGGAGTTGGTGAAAGTAAAAACTTGGATCAGCTGTTCTTTCTGGTCAGATTGTATTAAAATAAAAAGAAGATTAAAGTCCAACTTGAGCAACAGAGTTTCAGACAGAGCAGTGCTTACAGTTAGCATCAGACCCCCACTGAATATTGCTGACATCAGATGCAAAGTATCAAATGGCTGTAGTCTTTAAAACAACAGTCAAAGGTTTTCAGTACAATTAAAAAAATTATAATAATCATAAATATAAGAATGTGAAATACTTTCCCTTTATAAAATAATACAAACTCATCATGTGGAAATGTAAGTGCACCAAACCAAAAGTGTGTTTAAATTAGGGCCGGGCACGTTACTGCGTTAATTTTGCATTAACTAATTAAGTCATTATCGCCGACAATTATTTTAACACCGCTAATGCAGTTTTTATTATTTATTTTATTGTAAATGTCTGTTTCTCACTGGCTTTTATTTTGAAAAAGTCCACCACGAGCGTTTCTTTACACTTTTTTCACTTTTTTCTGACCACGTGAGATACAACGAGCCTCCACGAGCCATGGGCCCGTTTGGCCAGGGGCTCCGGCCGCGGGCTCTGGCTCTGGCCGGACCAGCCGTGCGCTCTGAGCTGAGCTTGTTTCTTTAGTTCAGCGCTGCAGGGGGAGTCACTGATTTACCCAGATACCATTGGAAGAAAAGATGTGATTGGTCCAATTCCATTCCATTATATTAACCCTTAGATTCCCAAGAAATATCAGTCCAAGTTTATAACGATGATCTAGAAATTATTACTAGCGTAGTGTTTATTACTCACTGAATAAAAAATATAGAAAAAATATATTAGTACAAAAGTCCATTCAATATTTTTTCTTGAGTCTTCACTGAAACCTTGAAGGTTCTGAGGATTCAACTGTGAAAGAAATGCTGTTTGCAGAACAAATGTTTGGCTCTTTCATTTACATTTCCAATAAAAATGCGCTATACTCTACTTTTGAATTCATTAATTGGTTTTGTGTATAACATGCGATTAATCGTGATTAATCGCAATTAATCGCTCAAACTCATGCGATTAATGCGATTTTTTAATTTTTTTTTTGCCCAGCCCTAGTTTAAATATTATCATTTTAAGGGCAGTAAAGTGTATATAAAATATTCTGTTGTGACTCAGTGTGTTTCTGTTTAACGCAGCTCAAACAAAGACACTTTCTCATTAAAATCCCATTTCGAACTTCCGGTCATCGCGCAATGCAAACAGGGAAGGAAAAAGTGAACATCAAACCTCCATGTTTGTTTTCCCAGTGGGATGTGTCTATTGTCAAAGTCGATCTTTTCAAGTCTTTCGAACCATATCACTTTTGTTTCTGGTTCTGATATCGTCATAATTTAGTTTTGGGATTTGGACATCGTAATTGTGTGGTGGCTGGATGCCGTAACAGCGGAAAACGACTCGAGAAATGTGTTTGCAAACTCCCTAACTGCAAAAGGGAATCAGATCTGTGTGACTGCAGACTTCCCAGTATGCATTGCGCGATGACCGGAAGTCCGAAATTTGGGATGCATGTATATTGGTCAGCCTTTGTCATGCTTGGAGTGAGTGACAGGTGGATTTAACCAATCGCAGTGAAGCGTGAACTCTCAGTTAAATTTCAGCTGTGCATGAGTTTCAGACTGATGAAAAATTTTATTAGCCATAGCAGTTAACAATTAGAAAGTAAATATACAATCTTTTGAATGGTGAAAAGCACTAAAAATATGACTTAAAACAGGAAGCTAAAACCTGTGAACGAGACAAACAACCCGACCACAAAGACGACATCAGATTAGCCGCTCCGAGTCAAAGTGAAAGTGAAAGTGGAGCGGGTGGGCGAGACGTTGCAGGTGCGGAGGAGGAGAGGACTCAGATCTTGAATGTGTTTGCGTGCTTCTTACACAGAGGTTTGTCTTTTTTGGAGAAGAACTTTTGACCCTCCAGAGACACGCAGCAAACCTGGAACACAACAGCACAACACCAGCTTCAGTTAATAAGTCAGGAATTACGGCAAGATCATGTCTGCAGCAGGTCAATAAAAAATAAAAAGGTTATAGGGGGGTGTCGGTGTCCTCTCCCAATAAATTTTGTGTAATAAGAGCTGTAACTTCTTGCATTTTAGATGGTTTTAGAAGCTTGTTTTTACCGTCATGACAGTAACTCTCTACTCTACTCTATTACTTATCACTTATCCAATAATACAGCAAAGCAATGGGGTGTGAAACTTTCAAGGACAACATATATATTTATGGTCCGTGTATCATTCGTACTTTTGAATTTCAATTAAGAACGAAAAACAATCAAATGGTTGATAACCGTTTGTTATTTCATTTTTCCATTTTAGTGTCAAACAAAAAAACTGATTTCGACCTCTATTTCCAATATTTAAACTGATAACACCAATCAAAAAAACAGTCATCGTGCTTATTTTAATTTTGATATTTTATTCTCTCTGGTTTGTGAGAAGAATCCCTCAGTCGTCCAGGTAGAATCCATGGCGAGGAGAAAATTCAGTTTGTCGACGGGACAAAAGTTAGTTTGGTTGAAGACGTTTTGCAGCTCATCCAAGCTGCTTCTTCAGTTCTGGTCAGACGCTGGTGGACACTTCCTTATATCTGCAGGGAGGAGCTAAATAACTGAAACTAACACACCTACTTGTTTACAGTTTCTGTTTGTTAGTTCGGCCTGTTGACCTGTACAGGGTGTGGGGTCTAATTATCATAACAATTCATGGCCATAATGGAGCTTCCACACCTCTGGACCTGACCTGACTACACCTGTTGTTCTCTTGTTTGTTTTGATTTAGGTTTGAGGATGGACGTGTAAATAGGAGACAGATGGTGTCTGAGGCCTCCATTTCTGTTTAGAGAAGGATCCTCTTTCTTAACAAAAATTGATTCTTTCACTCTCCTCTCAAACCAATTCTTTTCTCTGGCTAAAATCTGTACCTTGCTGCTTTTAAGTGGAGATGTACAGCAGACTGAGGTCCACTGCTGCTCTCTCTGGTTTATTTGCCCTAGAAGTTCTGCTGCTAGATGGACTTACCTGAAAAATCTCTGCAATTTTGTGGACAAACACGTCGTCTTCTTTTATAGTGTCACGTTTACTTTCACGTCTTAGAAAGTCATTGTTGAACTCCATTTGATTAACAGGATGGAGCGATAAACTCTCCTTTGTTCAGTTTACACTTAATTCACACCCAGCGCGATAAACAGCAAAACATCCAGGGCAAATAAACCAGAGAGAATAAAATGTCAAAACTGAAATAGGCACCGAGACTGTTTTTTGATTGGTGTTATTTGAAATAAACTTTAAATTCAGTATTGGAAATAGAGGTCAAAATCCGTTTTTTTGTTTATTTCATTTTTCCGTTTTAGTGTCAGGGGTGGTTCTGGGGGAGGGGCAACACCTCTAATCTGATTGGCCCCTGAAGTTCCACTGTTCTGTCAATCACCTGACGAGAAGAACAATTCAATGATCACTGATGCAATTCCACCCCTAAACTCTTGGCGGCAGTAGACCTATTGCGTCAATACAACTTAATGGGAGAAGAAACAGACCTGTAGAGGACTTTTTTTTTCACTGTCCATGCTTGTATTTGTACTGTACTGAATTAATCATTTGTGTGCTTGGATGTTCCCGCTACTTGGCCCCTGAACGTAACATGTGGCTCCTGAATGGCCCCTGTTTCAGAAAAAACCTAGAACCGTCACCGTTTAGAGTCAAACTGTTTTCCCATTTTATTGTTTTTCATTCTTAATTGAAATCCAAAAGAATGCATGGTACCCTTTTTGTGATTTTCCATGTTTTCAAGGATTTCCAGGATGTGTGTGAATCCTGAGATCTGATGTGAGTAATCAGAGGGCCCACGATCAGAAAGACAGATGAGTTTGCTGTTTAAATGTAGATTTAATAGCGTTAATACTCCATAAATGTGTTAATAATCAGACTGTGAGTTCATGTAACTGGAGCCTCTGTCTGTGAGCCGTGGCCTCTGTGTTTCTCAATGCTAAAGTCAAACAAACCAGAGCGAGAGGAGGCAGCACAGGGACGAGAGCCCGACCAGACAAAAACACAAACCCAGAATTATTGGAGCTAATGCCAACAAATTTCTAGTGGACTCGTGCAGTTTCTCACCGCGCAGACGAAGCAGGTGTCGTGCCAGGTGTAGCCCAGAGCCTCCAGGAACCGATCCCCCGCCTCGATGGGGAACTCGCAGCCATGGCAACCGGTCCCAAACAAACTGTAGAAGTCTGAAAACACAAGAAATATTGGGGAAAAAAACACGATATCAAAAGCATGTGACAGTGTCGATACTTTGAAGTGACGCCATGCTGGAAGAGCTCTACCTGCATCTGTATTGGCGGAATGACTAGGGCTGTGCAAAAATATTGAAATATCGATATATCGTATCCTTTAATGTGATTATACAGTATCAATATTGTATTTTTTGGTATATTTTACTCAATTATTTTCTTACAGCGCTACAGTTTTGTAGTCAGGCTGGCGCCACCTAGTGCCTCCGCTCAACTTCATTTCTCTCCAGGGACTAGATCAGTAATCAGAATACACTAGACGGTTTGCTAGAACCACAGAAGTTGTAGACCGTGCACTGGCCAATCAGTGAAGAGCTGTGAAGCCATGACGTCAAACTTGTGGAACAACACAACAGTAAACAAAGCGGTCAAGATGGATGTAGACGAAGACAGACATTCAGTGTTGGCAACGATTCCCAAGATCGAGGATTTAAAGCCAGAACAAAGAGAATGTTTGGTGAATTTTATCAAGGGGAAAGACGTTATTGTCCCAGCGATTGGTTAAACAAAAGAAGTACCCGCCTACTGTCAAGCGAACGAATCCTAATGCTGTGAGGTCAGACGGTTTCCACAAAGTGAAACTGGCTGATAAATGAGGCAAACAGTTTTATTGTGCTGTCAGAAACAATTTTTTTGCGACACATTTGACATATTGACTCTTCTGATGATTAAAATGTTTGTTGTTGTTTGTTTATGTTGTTTAGGAATTAGATTTTAAACAAAAAGGTGAGAGGAACTAACTGAAAAACTGTTGTCTAACACTATGTACCTTGTGACTTTAATTTAATGTCTGACAGACTTGTTTAACAGCATAAATCAGATCACCTATTCAGATTATGTTCAAATAAAGCTCAGATTAAGTCTAATTTGAGAAACAGATCTTCTAAAGGTCTGTTCAGCGTCAAAAAACACCGTAGACGCCTCTGTTTGGACGTCCCTGACCGCCCGTTTTTCTGGAAACAAGGGCCCGGTCCTGGTCTTTTCCCAGAACGATTGCAGACCAGGCTGAGAGAGGGACTTTAATGTATTTATTACATTCCGCTCCCTGCTCCGGTTCCCGTGTTTTTCTCTTTCTTCTCCTTCTTCTGGGTAATAAGGTTGCAGCGTCACTGTATAGTTGTTCCTGATTGGTTGACACACGGCACGATCTGACGCGAAAAGTTCAGCGTTTCCAACTTCTGACGCTGACACACTGGACGCTGATGCCAGAGCGCTCAAGACGACGCAAGATTCGCCCGAAAATGCGCCGCAAAAAAGCAGGACGACCGAGATTGCCGTCCACACAGACTTTGCATATAAACTGGACGCCTTGACGCCGCGGTCTGAACGGGCCTTAACAGAGCAGTGCTTCCAGTTAGCTCCGCACCCAAAGGGAATGTTGATGACGTGAGCTGCAGAGGATGAGTCTGAGTCTGAGCTCTGACCTGTTTCGCAGTAAGGCTCCCCGTCCTCCAGGTGGAAGCAGTTGTTTCTGATGGGCTGCTGACAGCACGCGCACAGGAAGCAGTGCACGTGCCACGTCTGCTTCAGAGCGTTGATCACCTCCTGGAAACAAGAACACAACACGACGTCAGTTCATGTCTCAGATTATCTACATACAACTTTACAGAGAGGGTCTTTTACTTCTGTCACTATGTTCCCTTTATCTTGCCATATTCACCAAAACAACGTATTACCACTTTCTTTTTCGATGCTCTCAGACTCCCTCCCTTTGTTTTCTGCACTTAAATCACTCCCCCTTTAGAACGGTATCCTGCTATTGAAACTACTGCACATCACATCAGGTTTGTCAAGTTGCCGTGTACAGTTTTGTGTCATGTTTTTGTAAATTTATGGAGATTTGTCGTGTGGGAGCATGAGCGACGTAGGCTTGTGGCGAAGCTTTGCAAAGAATCTCACAGCTCACCGTAAAGAGGGTTTGAACAGCGCTTAGGAGAGATCACTAAATTAATTAAACATGTATGACATCTAAAACGAGAACGCTTGTGGGTAAAAATTCCAAAATATTTTATGAGAAGTGCCTTTCGTTTGGACGGTGATGACGTTTTTGGGGCTTAAAAAGGCAAAAATCTGAAACCAGCCTCCAGAGTGGAAAAGTTGAACACACTCCATCGTAGTGTTTCCGTCTACCGACCAACTGGCTATTGTATAACCAGTTGGTCTTTGTCAGGTGTAACAACTCTTAAGTCAATAGAATCCCTCTACAAAAAAGCTTTGAAAATATTAGACAAGAAACCCTTTACTTACCATAGTTGCAATGTGCTCTCCAAATACAATCTATTGAGCTTTCAGAATTTTATAAAATTTAGAAATGCCTGTTTGATGTATAAGATTTTGCACGGTTTAGCTCCACCCCCACTCAGTGATTATATCAGGTATAGGTCAAGTGTTACATGTCGCTCCTCCAGGGCCACAACCAGAGGTGACTGTGAGGTGCCTGATAGAAAAACCTCTTTCAGTCAAAATGTGTTTTCATATAAGGGCAGTGTTCTGTGGAACAGTTTACCACCCACAGTTAGAGACTCCCCCAGCTTTACGACTTTTAAAGGCCATTTAAAGACATGGCTTAGGTCGACACAGGTGTGTGATCATTTACGATAGTTTACAATGTGCTATGTGCAAAGTGCAATATGCTATTTATTAAGTATTTTAATGTTTTAATTACGGGCAATATAATATACTAAAGAATTTTACCTTCGAGGGCACGTGCAATACATTGTAGAAAAGCACTTTATAGTAATTTTAGCAATGGGCTGTGTGCAATATCTATACACTGGCATCTTAACTAAACAAGGCAGCGTGCAATTTTGATCAAATAATCCAACATCCTTTGCTTGACCTGTGTCTGTGCTCTTGTGACTGACCAGCTCTTTGTGTCTGTCTATTTGTATTATTGTATTGTCTGTCGGGATGTATTGTTTTTACTGTGCAATTGTTTTATGATTACATCAACCTGCCTAGGGACAGCAGATGGAAATTAGCCTTGGGCTATAATCTGATAACATATTTACATATCATGTATATGTTCATTAATGTGTTTTGTCCCTATTTTAAATAAATAAATAAAAAAAATTAAAAAAAAAAACTGCCCAAGACGCAAAACTCTGGTCAAATCTGCTCATGTTGCGTACGAGTTTACGTCATATACATCACCACCGAGCTGCCTGACATGCAGACACAATCGAATTCCACACACTTTTGCGTCACCGTATGCATGAAGATTTCCTCCTGAAAACGCTCGTGTAAACGCGGGATAAAAAGTGATGTGACACCACTTTTGCGTCTTCTGTTCAGACCGTCGTCATATAAACGTAGCTTCAGACACGTTTTTGATGAGGAGGTAACATTAAAGCATGAACGAAAAACTATAATGCTCCTTTTTAAAAGAAAACAAACCTTGGCATTTGGCCCATTCTTTAATGAGCAATCTTTATGCAGTGCGGCGAGACCCATTTCCAGATCTAAATCTAGGCTTGGAGAATAGCTGGAGGACTATTGTGTATGTTTTTAATAAAAAACAAATCCTCTGACTTCCACATCGAAAACCGCAGAGCTGATTTCTGATAATTGGACCAAGCTGACTGTATATGGAAACAGTTCATGGTAAACAGAGCGTTCTCAACCATGAATCAGAAAATACACTTATTACAGAGTTAAAGGCTCTTAAAAGTCCATAAGGTTAAGGTACATTTAATTTGTCCTCTGCATTTGACCCATCCTTCAATACCGTTTGGGGCAACCAGGGGGTTCCACAGTGCCTTGCCCAAGGGCCCATCTGTTTTGACCAATTTGAACTAAACCAGGACTAAACTGAGACTCAACCAGGACTACATCAACTCCAAACCAGGTCTAAACCAGGTCTAAACTGAGACTAAACCAGGACTACACCATGTCTAATCCAGGCCTAAACAAGGACTAAACTGAGTCTAAACCAGGACGACATCAGGCCAAAACCAGGTCTAAACCAGGACTAAACTGAGCCTAAACCAGGACTACAACAGGTTTAAACCAGTTCTAAACCAAAACAAAACTGAGACTAAACCAGAACTACATCAACTCTAAACTAGGGCTAAACTGAGACTAAACCACGACTACATCAAGACTAAACCAGGACTACATCAACTCTAAACAAGGTCTAAACCAGGACTATCACAATTTCTGATCAATCTGATCTCTGCCAACAGTAAAGAGGAGCATAAACTGTCATTTGTTTTGTCAAAATACAGAATCCGTGTTTGCGAATGACCATAAAGCAAAAAACAAAACAAAATCGTCCCTCAGATCACGACTGACACGAGAATACACAATGTTACACGCTCTTTTCACAATTTTATTTATTCCAACCATCCCAACTCGGGTGTGTCCCTGTTTAGAATTCTGAAAATCTGGTCATTCTAGACTTGTGGTAATCTCCAGACTGACCCTTGAGCTTAGACCACAGTGTTGGGCCCGTAGCCGTCGGCCGCTCACATGCTCTGACCCTTTGGCCCCGCTCTTCCATTTCTCACACATCTTCAAGCGGCTTACGGCGTCTTACGGGCTGTTTCGCGCCCCCTCCGCGCCGACCGGGCCCTCCCCTGATCCCTGGCCCCAGAGCAGGCACCAAAGCTGGGAAAAGCTGCCCAGTGTAAGCCCTGTCATGGGACCTCCAGCAGAAGACGGACGTGTTAGAGACGTGAAGCAAGAAGTATTCCTGTGAACTGAATGAGGCCGCTCTGTGTGCAAGAGGGGGAGGTTATGGAGCTGTTATTGTGCATTATTCAGGCTTTTTACCAGGGCTTCATATAATCATATTACACTGCAAATATTGTAAGGTAGAGAGAGGGGCTGTATGTATGTCTGTGATGAGATGTTCAGTAGTTTTAAGTCATGTTAAGACTATACACACACAAGCAAAGTGAATGAAGTTTTAGAATTTTAGAATTTTGTGTGTGATTTTTTGATATCATTTATTTATCTTGTACAATAAATATGTTTTAAAGGGCCCTGATTACGCAATTTTCTGTGTTATAATGTTGTTTCTTCATCACAAACAGACCTGGACTTGTGTTTTGTTTCATTCACACATGTTTAACACACAAACCCTGCAGATTTAGGCTGAGTTCTTCTCTCAAACAAACACCTTGTGACGTCATGTAGTAAAACAGGAAGTACTCCACTGTGTTTTTAAACTCCATACACCTTCACTAGGATCATTTGGATTATTTCAGCCCAAGAATTGCTTATTTTTGTTGGTAAAACAGTAGCCAGGTGGGTGCCACCTAGTGCCTCCGCTCAATTCCATTTCTCTCCAGTGACTAGGTCAGGAATTGGAATACATTAGACGGTTTGCAAGAACCACCAGCCAATCAGCTGTGAGCTGTGAAGCCATGACTCAAACTCAAGCGTCTGTCTGTGTCCCTTTTGTGGTACGACACAACAGGAAACAAAGCGTCGAGATGGATGTAGACCAGGGGTTTCCAACCTTTTTCCTTCTTTGAGCTACTTTTTATAAAACAAAAATGCCAGAGAGCTACTAATTGTAGTGGTTGCCAGAAATTTTGTAAATATTAGAGCCTTGGTAAGCTGAAGATGAGGTACAGTTAGGTGTCTATTAAACATAACCCAATATCCAGTTATCGGTGCACAAATGTTAGGCATCAAAATTATACATTTACAAAAGAAATAGGCATTTAATCAAACAAATTTGAGTTATTCAGCACAGTATGTATAATTCAGAAATACCTGGGCGAGCTACTTGTAACTGGTAGCTCCCGAGCAACAGGTTGGAGACTCCTGCTGTAGACGAAGCCATACATTCTGTGTTGGCAACAATTTCAGAGATCGAGGATTTAAAGCCGCAACAAAGAGAATGTTTAATGAATTTAATCAAGGGCTAAAGAATTTATTGCCCTTCTTCACAGGATTTGGTGCATTACATACGTCACGACCAAATAGCAACATTTGCCATCCATACATCCATTTTCGTCCGCTTATCCGGGGCCGGGTTGCGGGGGCAGCAGTCTAAGCAGGGACTCCCAGACTTCCTTCACCCCAGACACGTCCTCCAGCTCCTCCGGGGGAACCCCGAGGCGTTCCCAGGCCAGCCGAGAGACATAGTCCCTCCTGCGTGTCCTGGGTCTTCCCCGGGGCCTCCTCCCGGTGGGACATGCCCAGAACACCTCCCGAGGGAGGCGCCCAGGAGGCATCCGGAACAGATGCCCGAGCCACCTCAACTGGCTCCTCTCGACGTGGAGGAGCAGCGGCTCTACTCCGAGCTCCTCCCGTGTGACTGAGCTCCTCACCCGATCTCTAAGGGAGCACCCAGCCACCCTGCGGAGGAAACTCATTTCGAGCGCTTGTATCCGCGATCTCGTCCTTTCGGTCACTACCCAGAGCTCATGACCATAGGTGAGAGTAGGAACGAAGACTGACCGGTAAATCGAGAGCTTCGCCTTTCGGCTCAGCTCCCGCTTCACCACAACGGTCCGATACAGCGACCACATCACTGCTGAAGCTGCACCGATCCACCTGTCAATCTCACATTCCGTCCTCCCCTCACTGGTGAACAAGACCCCGAGATACTTGAACTCCTCCACTTGAGGCAGGGACTCTCCACCCACCCGGAGAGGACAAGCCACCTTTTTCCGGTCGAGAACCATGGCCTCAGACTTAGAAGAGCTGATCTTCATCCCAGCCGCTTCACACTCGGCTGCAAACCGCCCCAGTGCACATTGCAGGTCCTGGTTCGATGAAGCCAACAGGAACAACATCGTCCGCAAACAGCAGAGATGAAATCCTGTGGTCCCCAAACCGGACCCCCTCCGGCCCCTGACTGCGCCTAGAAATTCTGTCCATAAATACAATGAACAGAATCGGTGACAAAGGGCAGCCCTGGCGGAGTCCAACATGCACCGGGAACAGGTCTGACTTACTGCCGGCAATGAACACAGCTCCTGCTCCGGTCATACAGGGACCGGACAGCCCTTAGCAAAGCAACGCTTGGTTAAATAAAAAACAGTCAAGCGAACAAATCCTAATGCTGCGACGTCAGACGGTTTCCACAAAGTGAAAACGGCTGATGAATCAGGGTAGTAAAAAGTTTCTGTTAACTTGAAAACTTCCTCTTCATGACATCACAAGGATTCTGAGCTTTAGCGATGTAAACAGACTAATAATAAAGTCACTCAAACGTGTGAATGAAACAAAACACAAATCCAGGTATGTTTTTGAGGAGGTAACATTACAACGTGACTTGAAGCTCACATTTTGAGTCATATAGGACGTTTACAGACCAGACCCTGTGCCCAGACAGAGGCCCGGTCCCAGGTTGCTGTCAGAGCCACTGAAGTCTGTGTATGTGTCTCTTACCCCCATGATCTTGGCTCCGCAGCGGCTGCAGGTGGGGGCGAAGAACTCCTCGTAGCAGTGCTCACAGTACACACAGCCCTGCTCCTCCACAAAGCCGATGTCCGCCAGAGACGACCTGCAGTGGGCGCAATTAAACTCCTCTTTATGCCAGGAGCGCCCCATCGCCACCAGGAAGGGCCCTCTGCAACACAACACGAGAACAGAGTTTAAATCACAATAAGAAAAAGTAACAAGTCCCCTGATTTCGAGGATACTTTTTTTTTCCCAGAAACTGACACTTATCTGATGCAAAACTTCAAAAAAAATATTTACCATAACTTGTGTACAGTGAAACAGGTCAGACAGGGACAGTCCAGCGCTGTGTGTCTGGTCATGTGTGTCTATTCATGTTCGTGTGTGTTCATGTTCGTGTGTGCAGACTGCAGACTGCTGTGAAGTGTGTCTAAAGCTCACATCACACAGAGACGCTGCAGTTACACGCGTGTTCAAAACTGGAGCACAGGGTCACATGAGCGACACTTACACGCCTATCGCCGTGGTAACAGGACTATATAACTCAAAGATATGAGGAGATAACAACACGCACACTGAGTAAACACGCAGTAACTTTACTGGCAAATCCAGATGTTTATCTACATGTGTATTTTTTACACAGAGGGACCTCAGTCTGGTCCCATGTCCTCCACCGTGTCTCCAACCAGAACCAAACAAGATCGTCAAGTCAGATTTATTTATTTCACTGATGCGTGTGAGACGACGGAACTTATTAGTGACCTGTCTGTTTGAACAAAAAAGTGTGAACCCACCAAAGGATCAGAAAAAGGACTGAACATGAGATGAATTTGATGTAAAGTGTTGTGAAAGTGCGTTAAAGACAGAGCGTGGTCCTGACCTGATGACCATGCTGCAGTGGGCACATGGGCGTCCGGGTGCCCGCGGGGTAGTGCTCTGCCATCTGCACCAGCGTGTCCTGGTCCTTTGGGTGGGGCTGAGGGATGGGTCTGCTGGGCACAGGGCCTTTGGGTGCTCCGCTCTTCCCCTTCATGCCAAAAGAGGGAGTCACCAAACCCGTCTGAGCTCCATGACCTTTGGGAACAAAGAAGAATAGATCTCAGTAACGTTTATCTCTCCAAAACAAGTGAAAGAAACTTGGCAATTTATTTAAATATACGTCTAGTTTAGTAACAGTTTGCAGTGATTCAAAGTAAGCTCCTCACTTACCTCATGCATCCTAATTATTCACCACAGTGAGTTTGTAAGTGCTTTTCACAACTTTCAGAGAAAAAAGGTGAATTGCAAGATTATCAGACAATGTAATGCTTTCTAATTGAATACAGACACGCAGCAGACTTATTTTGACCTCAAGAGACAGATTTTGCTCAAATACAAGGGAAAATCAGGTACATGGCCTTGAAAACAAGACCTGCAACACCAGTCCCTTGCTCCTATAAATCACTTTTACACCATCTTTTCGTAGGTGGCAGGGGTGTAGCACCAATTTATGGACCGGGGTACAAATCATCTTGGTGGGCCCTTCATTACATGTTGTCTAATGAAAAATACACATTACAGACTCTGTGAGGGCCCCTCCCTGCTCTGGCGCTGGGTAAACAGCAGCTTTTACCCTCCCAGTCCGACGCCCTGTGATAGGTGGTGTTATTAATCTGCCATAAAAGTAGGCTGAGTTTGTGTTATAAATAAGATGGTTATTTTTAGACAGTGGTGGATGAAGTACTTCATTTTGTCACTTAAGTAGAAGTACAAGATACAGGACCAAAATGTCACTCAAGTAAAAGTCAAAGTATTACATGAAAAAAAGCTACTTAAGTAAAAGTATTAAAGTATGTATTTTAAAAAATGCACTTAAAGAGTAAAAAGTAAAACTATTTTGCAGAGATTTTTCATCATAGAAAAGATGTTGGTGCAGGTTATAGCATGAATGATCATTTACACCTGTCGACTCTGAGCAGGTTGGTGCAAATACTAAAATACAGATTTAGTGTATAGAGATAAACTGACCAAAAATAAATTAAAACAGATATTACTTACAGGGTTACAGTGTGCAAATACAAACAGAGACAACATTAAAAAAAAAAAAAAAAAAAAAATATATATATATATATATATATATATATATATATATATATATATATATATATATATATACAAACAACAACACAAACACATGCCCCCTGTTCACCCTGTGTTAACCCCATATATATATATATATATATATATATATATATATATATATATATATATATATATATATATATATATATATATATATATATATATATATATATATATATATATATATATATATAGCCCATTTCCTCCATGTTCCAGTAGCCCATTTTTGCACAGCCCATGGTGTCGACTGTGCAAAGAGGCTCCTGAGACAGTCCAGCACAGAACTGCAGGTGTAAGATGCTGCAGGGAAAGCAAACATGGAGCGACAGAACCAAGTGGCGGGCAGAGTGTACAGAAACATCTGTGCAGAGTACGGGCTGGAGACCCAAACTCAAGGTGGGAAACACCTCCAAAGGTCGTGGAGAACAACCGAGCCAAGATCCTGTGGGACTTCCACATACAGACGGACAGGATGATGGACCAACCAGACATAGTGGTGGTGGATAAGAAACAGAGCAGAGCCGTGGTGGTGGACATCACGACACCAAGCGATATAATAATATAAGAAAAAATTAACATGAGAAACTAAAGAAATACCAGGGGCTCAAGGAGGAGCTAGAGAAGGCCTGGAAACTGAAGGCATCAGTGGTGCCCGTGGTGATCGGAGCACTCGGGCCTGTAACCCCCAAACTGGAGGAGGCTACAGCAGATACCGGGAAAAACATCAAACATCTCAGTCTAGAAAAGTGCAGTAGTAAGAACAGCAAAGATACTGCACAGAAATCGCACCTGAGCTGGATGAGAGGGAGAGAGACCAACCACCGTGGAAGGACGATTGGATGATTCTAATAATCATTCAAATCACACTCATCCGTAAAGCGCACAAGCATGTTTAGAGATCAGCCATTTCTTTGTCAGACATGGAAACATTTGAAAACCTGTGCAGGTTTGAATCTCTGTTGGCAAATGATTCCAGTGACTCACAGCGACAGAGGAAAAAGAGGATCTGGTGAGTGCGCTCTTACATTTGTCGACAGTGCTCTTTCCTCTGGAGGATGAGCACGTTACTCGAGATGTTTTTTCAGAACTCAGTGAGACGAAAGCCTTCAGAGGAGGAGCAGCACCTTGAAGAATTTTGAAAAGCAAACAAATATTTGTATATGTCATTAGATTTTCAAAGTTTAATAATTTTTTTTTTGCAAGAATAGGACACTGGTGATATTGTTACGGTTTATTATGAATCTTAACCACACATTTATACAGTTATTCATCAGATTTCGAGGCTGTTTTGCGCCTCTGACCAGCTCTTCATTAAAATAGATGTGCGAAGCCTCCATGGTGCACGACCCTCGTATATGTCTGAAATTTGAGAAGTTAAATTTTCTGAAGAAGGATCCCTGCTCTTGACATTTTTAACCCAGAGACACTGAAGGACGGGACACATTTTCCTACAGGGACAATAAAGTTCACCTTAACTTTGACCATAAATTGACAAACGTAAAACGCAGACACCACCATCTCTAATGAAACTAAAAACTTTTCTGAGGGAGAAAATGTTTGGTCCACGTCCGTTAAAGTGTGTCTTGTTTGAAATAGCGGCGAGGCGTTGGTTTCCTGACGGCGTCCCAAAGCCAATGTGTGTTGTCTGCTCCAGGTGTGCGAGTTATGTGACCTTTGACCTCTCTCTACAGACCGGCAGGATCCCGGCTGTGACTGACTGCTCCTGTCACAACATCCTTTCAGAGCTCCAGTCTCCACCGTGTCCCTGAACGCCTCGCAGGTCTGGACACATCCCCAGGAGAAGGAAGACCAGACGAGACGAGGACCACCAGGATATTACCACCACTAACACATGATAATAGTGCCCACCCTGACACAGGACTACCGTATTTTTTGGAAGTCGCACTTTTTTTCATGGTTTGGGTGTTTCTGGTGCGACTTATATATTAAAGTTTTCACACTGAAGCGGCGAGAGGTTCTAGTCTTGTGTGTCAGTATCTGTTGCTCCTGTTCCTCCTGTACCACTGTCACTTGGCTCTACTGCGCATGTCTCCTGCAGAAAGAGCCTCTGTCCCGTCTGTATCATGTCAGTCGATCGCACCATTACTTCTGTAACACTGAAAATTTTACATTTAAACAAACTTATAAAGACGACTGAGAAGACTGAACACAAATGCCTCCAAAAAGAAAATCTGATTTTGCAGATTACAAACTGCACGTCGTGAAATCTGCAGCTGAAAATGGTAATGGAGCAACAGAAAGAAAGATTGGAGTGAGCGAGAAACTTGTGACACCAGGAGGATGAACCATGAAACTTTCCTGGAAGTCACTGGATGGATGGACAAAGCCTGGACTTCAGTGACACCGAAACCATCCTGTCGGGATTCAGAAAGGCCCGAATAATTCTAACTGGAACTGATGCTGAGTCTGACGACAGCGACACAGAAGAGGAAGCGGCGCTCTGTTTACCTCCGGAGGTCGTGGAGTTGCTCAGAAGTGACACCGAGGCTGAAGAATTGAATGGATTTAGTGATTTGGAGTGAGATGGAGAGTTTGTTAAACTTGTTCTGTTCTGTTGTTTATGTTATAGTTTATCTGAAGAACTGTTCATATGTGACGTTAACAGTCTGTTGTTCTCTCTTCTATTGTTTTTACTAAATGTCGGTTCTTGGTCTGATTTTATCAAAGAAATTTCCCCCCAAAAGTGCGACTTATATACCGTATTTTCTGGGCTATTAGATGCGCTCTTAAGCCTCCAACCCCGTCAAAAAGCGACCCCGCGGCCCACAATCCAGAGCGCCCTATACACGAATCCACTCGGGTGTCCGTAAACTACAAAGCCGCACCACCCGCAGAACACGCAAACACACACGGAGCAAGACAGCGACCGCACAGCGACAAACACCCACAGACACACTCATCACTCCACGCCGACGAGGAACGGAACGGAGGAACGAACCGAAAAAGCGAGTGCAAAGTGTCACTTCTAGACACAAGTGAACAACTGAGTCACTGCGAACACGCCGACAATCCAGCGGTCACAGACAGCACCCTCCCTACACGCCACAACTGAACAAAGCCCAGAGTCACCGTGAACGCCACAAACAAAGTCCCATTCTAGACCATTCTATGACAGTGCGCCTTATAATCCAGAGCGACTAATAGTGCGTAAAATATGGTGTGTTTATTTCGTCTTCGTTACACATTTTTTGACTGGTGCGACTTATACTCTGGAATGTTTTGTAGTCCAAAAAATACGGTAATTTTTCTGGCGTGGGGGTCCGTCACCTTTTTATCGCAATGAAGATGAAACTGCTTTCTAGAATGTTCTGCAGTACGACATTAAACGTATCTGTTTTTCGTCTATTCAACTCTTAAACTCGTCGATAACATGTATCCCACCTACAGCGAGCGCACAGAGGACGGTCACATTCACCGTCTGCGGTGCTCTGGCTCCGAGTCCGAGCTCTCCTCCTCTCGCTCTGGTCAATATTATCTTTCTGTGTGTGGGGTTGTGTGTGTTTGTCTGGGTGTTTGTGTGTGTCTGGGTGTGGGTTTGTGTGTGTGTGTGTGTGAGGAGGGGACGGCGCCAGAGCACGGACCTTTAATGGGCTCTCAGCTTAAAGGCGCTGTGCCTCATTTTTACTGCCTTAAAAACGTCAAAAAACAGAACTGGTTCATGTTAAACAGTTTGCAGCGCTCCAAAATTCCTCCTCGCTTACTTTATGCATTCAGAGCATCATAATTATTCAACACGGTGAGTTTATAAGCACTTATCACAACTTTCAGAGACCAGAGCCATTTGCCATGACTGTAAACGACTACTATCTGACAGTGAAATTCTTTCTTATTAGACAGTCCACAGCTGACACGGTTTGACCTCAAGAGCTGCTTATACAATATATCTGTACTGGAGAAAGAAAAGTTTTGCTCAAGTACGTAGGAAAAATCAGGTACAAGGTCTTTAAAACAAGAAGTCTACAGCAAAATCACATATTCAAAGTGCTTGTGTCTGCGCTATTGTTATAATCTATGACACGTGTGGATCCTTATGTTGTAATTTGGACATTTTAAATCGCAATATTCATCTAAAACGACTTAATAAAAGAAAGACGTAGAGCTGACATCGGCGTAGACGTCACAGTCCGATGGGTAACTGCACATCACACAATAGTAAGTAGCAGATTTTATTTTTCATTGTTACCAAAATGACTACGCGATGCTGCCGAATCTAACGTGTATCAGCGATTAACAAAATAAAATTTTAGAAAGAAGTACAGAGGGAGTAGATCCGCGCAAATATGTCTCGAATACTGGAGAATAAAGATGATTCAAACATCCACGAATCACTCGAAATACAACTTCGAAAGGGTGAATGAGAAAAATAACTATAAAGGAGCAAAAACAAATTTTCCTTGGACCTCAGGCTTCCAGGTGAATTGGCCCGTGTTACATTAAGCAGTACTTTTTAACCACATGTTTTTGAAAATCTATCATGGTAAAAAATAAATGCCAAATTGTGTGAAGACCTAAGTATGAATAAAGCCCTTGTGGCTCATTCCAACCTCTTACAAATGCACAGATATACATTCTTGTCTGTACTGATCACCAGACTATGGCCTTCCACTTCATCTGTGTTTTGATTCGCGACCCTTGATGACAAAAGTTTGGACACCGTTGGTTTACAAGGTTCCCACTTTTTTTTCACTGACACAATTTCAAAACTTTTTCATGACTTTTTCATGACCTAAAGTGAATTTTACATGACTTTACCGCACCTACATGTATAGAATTGATCAGACTTTTAGGGCTAAATATGAAATGTTAACTCTTTCCACTCACCTTGTGGTTTGGGATTATAGTTTTTTAACATTCAGAATTCTGTCAGTGCATTTACTGTCGTCTCTTTTAAACAAAAGGTGCAGATGTTCAGAAATAATCATAATAGCCTCATGAGAAATTAAGTAAGTAAGTTTATTTTTTGTTTTTTACTTTTCATAGACATGTGTCACAAAGACACTTGACAGAGCATTATTCATTATTATATTGTAGCCATACCTTCTTGTCAAAGCCTGATCCTGTCAGATCTCAGAAACTCAACAGGGCTGGGCCTGGTTAGTACTTGAATGGGAGACACTGGGAAAATCAGGAGCCACAGGGGGCGCCAGTCTTAAAAAAAAACAGTCATTGTTGTGTCCTTAGGCAAGACACTTCACCCACATTGCCTTGTATGACAGTGGTGTGTGTGTGAGTGATGGTGGTGGTCAGAGGGGCCGATGGCGTAGATTAGCAGCTGCATTCCTGCCAGTCTGCCCCAGGGCAGCTGTGGCTACAACAGTAGTTTACCACCAACAGGTCTGGAGTGAATGAACAATGCTCTGTAAAGTGTGTTTGAGTGTCCAAAAAAGCGCTATATAAAACTGATGCATTATTATTCTTTCTCTCCATACCCGTTGGTGGTAAACCACAGCTGCTCTGGGGCAGACTGACTGAAGCACGGCTGCCAGTTGGCACCATCAATCCCTCTGACCACCATCACTACTCACAAACACATCACTTTCATACTAGGCAATGTGGGTGAAGTGTCTTGCCTAAGGACACAATGACTGTTTTTTTTATGACTGGCACCTCCCTGTAGCACCTGATTTTCCCAGTGGTCTCCCGTCCAAGTACAAACCAGGTCCGGCCCTGCTGAGCTCCTGAGATCTGAACAGAACGCTGTAGCTACATGAAAGAGATACTAAAATTCCATGTTTTTTTTTCCAAAACTCTCATTGAATTTACAAAATTCCATGACTTTTCCAGGATTTCGATGACTGTAGAACCCTGGGATTAGGGTCGTTCACCTTGTTTTTATGGATATGTCATTACCTCTGCCTGGAATGTTTGTCAGTATGACATTAAACAGCCGCACTTTACACGTATTAAATTACATGTAGTTTTATAGCTCAAACAACAGGCATTCTGACTGTGAGCGAGGTCGCCTCTCCACAGATCTGACCTGTAACCTGGTCTGGTTTGGTCTCCATGAAGATAGAAAGGTTTAATATCATACTACACTGTGAAACAATCCAGACAAAGCAACATCATCTCCAAAAGCATTTGACGGACCCTCCACCAGAAA